CCCGCGGGCCCCCCCCCCCGACCTGGCCGCCCGGCCCCGGCCCAGAGTTATAGTATTATATTTTAACTGTGCTAACTGTCAAGTGCTGACTTCTCCCGTTTGTACGTGGTGTTATTCTTGAAATGTATTGTTTGAGCTCAAAAGGCCCGGACATCCCCCCCTCCCCTCCCCCCACCTCCTCGGGCTGAGATTATAAATATATATATATATTTATTTGTAGGTATTTATATATTGAAATATAAAAGCCTAGATTTATGGAGTTTCCTCTAGATCATATTATATTCCATATCAGACGAACTATTTTCTGTTGCTCCTCCCTCCCTTCTTCATTCAGTATTTCGGTTGCTTTCATTCCCTCCCCTCCGGGAACTCAAATTCCAGGAACCTTGGTATATTTTTTGATACTGTACACATGGATGTGTTGTTTCTATGTGCAAAAAAAAAAGTTTGTTAAAAGGCTAAAGGAACTCTCTAGAACATGCTGCTACTAGAAATGTCTAAACTATAAGCTTCCAATTATTACCTGCTTGAATGTAAATATTAAACAGAGATGTTGAAGGTGCGCCGGTCACTGCCTGAGATCTCGGTGGACAGGAGGGGCGGAGGGGGCAGGGGAGAGGAGGCTGGACTCCCTTCTTTTACCTTAGCTCTCACAGGGAGGCCTGCTTCCCGCTCCTGCGTGTTGGTGTAGCTCACCACTGGGAAGGGAAGTTCCTGCAGAGCCGGCCATGCCAGAACCACCTCCAGCCCAGGGTATTCCGGAAGTCAGTGCAGACCGGATGGCAACCCCTGGCATGGGGGGGGCTCCAAGATATGGGTTGGGCTAGCCCCCTTTCCATACACCCACCTGCAGCTACTGGCCTCTATCGGGGCGCCAGGCCGTGGAGGAGCTCCAGCAGTTCCTCCTGGCCCTGCCTGTAGGGGAGGCCACTGCCACCCTCTGCAGCGTCCCTGGCTGGCATCCTCAGCCCCGCCCCACCCCACCGAGGCTCTTTCTCTGCCAGGCTGTCTCCCCGGAAACCACGGGGCCAGAGGCCCCTACTGGCAGCGAAGAGGGGTGGGGGGGGGCTCTTCGTGTAACTTGGGCGGGGATGACAACAGATCTGCAGTCCCGTTGACTCTCGCTGCCTGTGCCCTTGGGAGTGGCAAGGCTGAAGCACTTGGTGTCTCCCAGGAGGGGAGGAAGGGGTTAAAGGCCCTGGGGGAGGGTGTGGCTCTCAGGATCAGGAAGCCAGGACCCCGGAATGCAATGAGCGCAATGAGCGGGCATTCTACCGTCCTCCCAGCCCGGGTGCCCAGCACGGTTGGGATTTGCGTGCTTGGTGGGCCCTGCTGGCCGCCCAGGATCAGGGGTGGGGTCTTTGGGGTGCCCAAAGCAGATGGAGGCAACGTGATTTAAAGTGGGGGGCGTGAGGGTAAGCAGAGGGGCAGGGCTGGGGTGGGCGGGAGCCTGGGTGCACCCTGAGTGGCCAGTGTTGGCTCGGGGCCACGGGTGGCCGGGGGCGGGGGAGGGAAGGGAAGAGCTTTTTTAAAAAACTAGACAGTCCTTGGGAGTTTCTAGCCCTGGCCTTTGTGGGCCATCCCGCCCACTGCCCCTACGCAGCCCCTCCTCCCTCCTCCTCCTCC